GTGTTTTTATTCCGTTTCCATTACGGGAATTCGTGAAAATATAAGCAGATTTGCGTTTCGTGCATATAGAAATTCAGAAATTGTCATTTGGTAATTTTTGAAATTTGAAACTTGCAGATATTTAAATGATTAAATTTCAAATTTTAAAAATTTCATTATCTGAAACTGGGATATCTGAAAATTTAGATAAATGCAAAATTTGAAAATATGAAAACTTGGCATATTAGAAAATTATAAAATTGGAATATTATAAACTTGGAAAAAAACATATGATCCGATAATTTGAAAAATTAAAACCTTGGAATATTTGGAATATAAGAAATTGAAAACTTAGAAGACTGAAGTGTAGAAAGTGTAAAAATCCGGAAGTATGGGAAATTGGAAATTGCGAAAGCAGATAACCGGAAATGTGGAAAGTTGAAATTGTTAAAAACTGCAAATGTAAAAAGTCTGTAATACAAAAAATTAAAAATTTACAAAATTAGAAAACTGAAAACCTGAAAATTTAAAAATTTAAAAATTGTAGACTAGAAGTTTGGAAAGTTGAACATACGATAATTTCCTAATTTGGAACTTCAGAAATTTAATAAATTAGAAGATTCAAAAAAATAGAAATATAGAAATTGAAAAGTCGAAAAATATTTAAAACTAAAATACAAAGATAAAAGTTAGCAGTAACAGGAGTACTGGTGCAGGAACAAGCTGTTTTTAATAGATTATTTTTTAGACTAAATTTATTCTGCTCTGAGAAAAAAGGCTGTACTCAAGTAATTAAGTTCATTTATTATTTTTTTTCTAAGTCGTTACGAAACGTTAATGTAAAGTGAACCAAGCCAGCTCCAACGACCAATAGGAAATCGATAAGTGATTCTATAAACGTTATCAAAGGAATGGTCGATAGATTGGTGCCATTAAAATACAGTCAAAAGCAACGTGGATTCTGATGTAGTAAAAAACACAGAAGGGTATCTTCCACGGTCAACTTTCCCTCCCGGTTAAAATTTAATTATAACAAAAAAAAACCGACAGGAACCCTCGATAGGGTGCTGGCACCCTTTATCGAAATAGGAAATCGAGGATGCCACGTGGAAATAATAAAAATAGAATTGGCCCCACCCTTTCCAATTTCTTGATGCAATTTACCAACACCGTTCACTCGGAACCTTCTCCTTTTCAGATTTATTTGCACAATTGAATATTGATTCCTTTTTACGTAACGAATACGTGACTTCTTTATTAGAATTGGACATAATAACAATTTTGCAGTTAATTATTATTATCACGCGTTTATTACACTATAATTTTCTAAAGCAACCAAAAGAAAAGTTTTATTCATATGATTGGAGACGAACATATCATGTGATTTTTGGAATTTAAATTTGGAAATTCGAAAATCTGTACATCTTTAAATTTAAAAGTTTGTGCTTATTTTATAGAAATAATTTACTGGCGCGAAACAGCGGTTATAAAAATTATATATTGAGTAATTGAAATAAAAAGTACAAAATCAAGGAAGAAGAAAAGTAAAAAAGAATGAAAGAATTTTGTATTGGTGATAATATAGGAGCTTCAAAATGCGTGAACGAATAACGACAAAACAACGTTCTCGATTTCTGAGCAACGAACGTGACATTGGACTGGATTTCCAGTAAATCCCGTAGCTCCGTTATAACACGATCTACTCACGTGCTTATCAAGCACAGTTTGAAACATGACATGTCGTACTGACAGTCCAAGTGTCACGTGCACACACGCGTGACAGCTATGAAACAACAATGCCCACCGAAAACCTCGACAATCAATAATTCCGTTAAAGCATGTGCAGGTCAATTGTCTTCGATTCTACGCGAATCAACACTCAATCGATATCCATCGTGTCTGAATACTAAATACTGATAGAACTATCCCCTATTCCGTTCTGTTTGTACACTTTCGTGCAACATATGCTTCTTTCGGATAAGCGTATGTACATACGTAAATTGGGCAATTTTTAAATTCCCATATATTTTCAAATTTATAAATGTTCCAGCTTTCGAATTTTTTAATATTTTAACTTTTACTTGTTTGAATTTAGAAATTTTTTTAATTATTTTATTTAAAACAATTTTAATTCGTCAACTTTTTCAATTTCCAAATACTTAAATTCCCAAACTTTCATATTTATAATTTCCTAATATTCAAGTTTTCGAATTGCTCATTATTTAAACTTTCAAGTGTTTGAATATTCGAAATTTATTAATTTCTTAAATTACTTAATTTTTTAAATTTTCTAGTTACCTAACTTTCTAATTTTCCAATTTGCACATTCTCGGATTTCGAAGTTTTCAATTTTTTCGGTTCAAACATTTGCATTTTTTATATTCGCAAACTTACAAATATTTTTCAAATACCCAAAGTTCTACGTATTAAACTTCTACTTAAGCCTTCTAATTTTCTAGTTTCCAAACTTAAAAATTCTCAAATTTTTAAATTATCCAAATTCTCAAATTTCGAAATATTCCTAAATATCCAAATTTTCAAGTTTCGTAATCCCTTAATTCCTAGGTTTCGTCATATTCAAATACTCAAATTTTGAAATCCGCAAACTCCCACATTTCTAAAACATCCAAATCTGCGACTTCCGAAATCAAATGTGTTTAAACTAAAAATTATTCGTTACTTTAAAACATTTGGTCAAAATTTTATCAAAATTTTATTAAAATTTTATTGCAAGACCTATAAGTATTTTATTGAAATAACAAAATTATTTTTGGATATTTTCATTCTATTCACAATTTTTGTCGTAAGATTGCTTGACATAATGTCCTATACCTACTGATCGATTTCGAATGAAAGACGAGCCTCAATTAATAACAGATTTCGTTACAAACGTGTTGGCACAAATTCCACGCACGAAAATGATTCAGGCACTTTTTACTTTCTTTCCATTACGCACCAGTTCGCGTATGAAAAGTTTTTGCCGGTTTCCCTGTTCCGACGTATCTTTCTAATTTAAAACCCACACTTGACACGGTTATTACTTTTCACTTTAATAATCCGCCGTTCCTCGATGTGTCTATACTCGATGTAGATTGCATACGTGTAGGCTTTTATTAAAATAATTACTTGCTTGATGTTCAGAGGGAAAGCATGCAAGTAGGTTACTAATTAAACAGCGCAACAAATAAGATCAACAAATACAAACAGTACTAGATTCTTCAGAAATTTCAATCTACAATCAATTTTAATTATTCTATTTCCGTCTATAATTAATTTTAATGATATTTAAATACGTGACGCACTCGCAAAATATCTATATGTTAAAGTAGTAGAGTATTATTACTACAAAAACGTCAATTACTAATTAAATATTTTTACACAAAAGTTACTTCGCGTCGAGAAAACTCGCGCGTCCGAGGCTATTAAAATATCACCGATAAAATTTTTATAAAATTAATCTTCTGTACTAAGTATATTTTTGACATTTTCGAAAAAACGACTTTTCCGTTTTACTTTGTTATTTATAGCGTCGTTGCATTTGCGACGCTTTAATTTTATACACATTTAGACTTACTGTGGAAATTGAGCTGAATTTCTTGTAATTCTGAAACGGCGTGAGTCATAAGCAATATGTAGGTATGTTTTTGACAATAAGTAATGGGTTTTTAATTCCTCCTACGAAAAACTGCCTACTGGCGAGTGATGTTTCATTCAAGAACTTGTCAGGGCCAAAAATATATTATAAGTTATGTCGGAACGAATGTGGAAGATCTTTTAAGACCCACATCCGAATTTATTACGGAAAAATTTATTCGATAAGTTAATGGTCTTTTAATGTTCATCGGTAGCAATTGTTCGATAAATAATTTCTAGTACGTGACATTGAATTTATCGCTAATGCGGTGTTCAATTCTTTTGCAAAAAAGTTAACCACTAGAATTGATCTGTGTCCTTGAGATTAATCAAACAGAAATCAAATATCTGTAATGCAGTATAGTCAACAATAGCCTTTGTATAATACAATCTAAAGTAATAATAGAAGATATGTGCTAATTAAAATTTCATTATTTCATGCAATTAAATAAACCGATTTAAGATCACGTCAATACCCAGCAACATTACATTATATTATTATATAATCCACACTGCGTTATTATTATATTGTATAATATAACAATTGTTGCTAATTTCATAACAACAATTTTAGATACTGAAATAATATTAAATTAATTAATTGAATTAAATGACAGATTTAAATATAGTTAATTTCTGTATTATATGATACAGAATACACATATTTAATATGTATGATATTTCAAAATTATCTTGAAAGACTTTGCAATTACTAGACTCTCATTATATCGCCATTTTTAATATTAACCTCGGAATTCCGGAACATCCGAATTACTAAGTATCTAAACTTGAACAAATTTAAAAACTTAGAAATCCAAAGATTTCTATAATTAGAAAATGTTAGTACTACTAAATTTTTCAGTTTTCTAGTCTTCCAAATTTCAAAATTTCCAATGTCTGAATTTTCCGAATGTTTTAATTTACAAATCTGCATATCTTCATGATACTACTTTTCTAAATTCGATATTTAAAAAATGTTAAATTTCTACACATCTGAATTCACAAATTGCCAAATTATCAATCTTCTAATCATTCGATTATCCAATTTTACAAATTTCTATTGTTGAAAAATTCGTTACATCTATGCGTAAAAATTTCTAAATTGCAAAAACCCTGAGGTCCTAAATTCATAAATAAACTTGAAATCCCCATAGATAACCAACACCCCATCACCGCACGCATCATACACTTCAACGCTGGTGATCTTCCCTATCTGCCCTTGATCTGCTCATTACTATTCTAAACATGCTCTATTCACACCAAACTGAACCCATAAAAGAAAGGCTGTAAAGAAAAAGCCACGACGCCGACTCGATGGTAGCCCATCAACGTCGAGTCATTGTAGCAGGATAAAGAGCATGGTTAAAGTTAAATTAAACGCTCCTCACCGGTCATCCTGGGTGACAGTGATGTCAGGCGGGGTCGCGGAAGGCGAGGCACCGTCTGGAGCATCCAGTTTGCCGGCTTTTTTCCTCGCTGTTCCCTTGTCTTTAAATTGGTCCAACGAAACGTTGGAGTATCACGCGAGAACCACGCTCGACAAACGGACAATCCTCACACCGACATCCCTGCGACTACTCGATTTATCACCCTTTCTGTCCTTCCTTTCCAACTTGCACAGACTCGCCGATCTGACCTTCGTAGAACACGACTTTATAACTCGATATTTTCACCGTTATTTTTTATCACGATCGCAAATATTTCGAAACATTTGCATTCCACTTTCACAAAAATCAAAATCTTCTTCTGACGATGTCTGGTAACTTTTATTGCAGAAATGTACAGGGTTTTCTTCAGTAAATGTCTCTGTCAAACGATATCGCTTTCATAAGAGTCAAAAGACCATTGGAGATCCTTTAAAATATCTGATTTTATCCAATTTCGGTATATCAAATGATAAATACTTCTTTGTTCAAACAACGTCAGATTTTTGTGAAATTTGTAATATGTGATACTTTTCGATGTTTTCAGATACGTTCCAGTTGATCAAAGAACGTCAAACCTTGATCATTAAGTACATCATTAAATTTGGGATTCCTAGAGACTATAAATATGTTTCTATTAGTCAAACAAGGTTAAATCTTAATAAGATTAATCGTTTGTTTGATCTGTATGTTAATGTTAGTCAAACATTGAAGCTTGAACACCAGGTACATCACCAAACTTGGGATTGTTGAAGTAGATCTTCAAATGTGTCTCTATTTATCAAACAGCGTCAATTCTTGATCATTTAGTTCATCCAAAAATTCATCACTAATATCCAAAGTTTTCTTTCTCAAATATCAAACATGTATATGCCTACTGATCAAACGGCGTCAAATTCTGATTACCAGATTTATTACTATTATTATTCTACGTTCGTTACACCACGTGTCAAATATGTCCTCGCAGATCACACGATGTCAAAATTTATATTATCAAAGCTTTCTATAACAAATTTCAAACACATGTGCCTATGCCGATCAAACGATATCACATCTGTATATATCAGATTTACCACTAAAATTATCCGAAGCTCTCTGCACCAAATGTCAAATATGCATGTCTATGTTGATTAAACGACGTCGAACGTGCATATATCAGAAATATCACTGATTTTATCCAAAGCTTTGTACACCACACATTAGATCTTTCTTCGTTGATCCAATATCGAACTATAATCATCAGATGTATCACTGACCTTATCCAAAACTTCTTGCACTAAATATCGAACATTATATGTGTGCGTTGACCTAACTTCGTCAAACTTTAACGATCAAGTGTATCACTGATTTTATTCAAAGCTTCTTGCATTAAATGTTGAATATTATATGTCTACATTGATCTAACCTTGTAATGATCAAATGTATCACTAATTTCGTTCAAAACTTCCGGCACTAAATATCGAATAATGTATATGTTTATATATCAAATCTTTTCATATCTTGATCATAAGTCGAATCACTGACCTCATCCTTAAAACTTCCTTCATTAAATGTCGAATGTTATATTTCCGTCGATTAAATCACACCAAACCTTGTTCATCGAATGTCACTGATTCCGTCCGCCTGTTTCTTTACCAAATATCGGATATCTCCGTTGCTCGAATTCCGTCAAACCTGGATCATCAGATATATCACCGAGTTTCCTCAAAATCCCATAGAGCTCAATCAAATAGTCGTTTTGGCGAATGCCGTTTCGCGACGTAGAAGCGTTTGGTCGATCAGACGCAGACTGTAGCCTCGATTATTAGATTTATCACGGACCAGCCTGTTCTCTTGGCGAGTTGGCTCTCTTCTTAGGTGAAAGCGAACGGCAATTATCGTGGCAGCGTAGGCAAGGCCTATAGTTTGCCCCGTGTTCTCGATCGTGCGCTCTCGTAAACACGTAGCTCTCGAGGCTTCAATAGGTGGCCTCCTCTCGCAGCGTGGATCGGAAAGCGATCATCGATACTGGGCGAACCAGCCCCGAGTACGATTTCCTGCACGGGTCACTGGTCCCACGATTTCGTGGCCTCGAAAGAAACTCGTCTTGCCGGGCTCTGCTACTTTTTGGCGAAATGCTCGTTAAGATCGACCACGATGATAATCCGCCTCGCGCGCTGGAGAACGCATCTGGAAGGAGTGTCCATCAAGCGAGTCTGTGCTTGGACCGTTTATCTCGAAAACTGTGCGATTATTTTCCCGGAAAGTCTTCTCTCTAAAGTGATAACGAGGGATCCATTGACAATGAGAGACTCTTTCGATGGGAGCTGAGTTTGCACAGCTTTGTAAGATCTTTTGGATAATGATGCAAGGTGATAGTTAGCGAAGGATTATGTAAGTGAGACGCTGAGGAACTGCATCGGAGCAGAAGCAAGGGTATGCGCTCGCCCCTGTTGTTTTACTCGCGGCTCTTGAGAAGTGGTGCGAAAACGGATCCACCATGAGGATGAGAGAGAGAGAGGGTGTCGCGCACGTGCAGTGTCGGAAAAGGCCACGCTCTTTTCTTTCTTATCCCGAAAATCGATCGTTCAAACACGCTGCATCGGATGACAGAGGGACACGCGTTCGCCGATGACCAAACGTCGTTAACACCGTACCACTTTTAATCCGATTATTGACCATGAAACGTTTACTACGGTTGCTCGAGATCAAATTGTCCGTGAGTTTCGATGAGGGTTAGGTTATTTAAACGAGTGTTCCTTTAACGCGAATGGGGATTCGTCAGGATTGGAATGCGATTCGCGGGTGCAGTCGGTATTAATCGCAACACTCGCCAACCACCACGATATACTCGAGAAGACTGGAGTCTCTCGGTAGGTGAGGCCCCCCCCCTACTCTATTCTCTCTCTTGTATGCTTTCAGGGTCGTACCGAAAGAATATAGACCCCCGGACGTGTTCAGACTTCTGACGAATTTAATTAACACGTTGACATCCATGCTCGGACAATGCCTTAATTTACGCTCGAGGAAGTCATCCATTTTACGAGAAACGCTTTTACTTATACAGTGATAAATACTTTCAGTTAACACTTGAAGACGTATGTAGTAAAAATAAATAAGTATATTGAGTAAAAGTAAAATTACTATTCTGTAGAATTTTTAATGAACTTTGAACGCTCAAAGTGTTAATTTGTCAGTCTAATACATACAGTATTTTATTTTAAAATCGCTAGAAATGTATCATAGAGCTATGAATTTTAAGCTTGATAAAATTTATTATTGTATAAATTCTTCGTTGCACATATGCTATGTAAAATAATTCACTTATACGTAGAATAAACATGTATATAATTCCCTTACAAACATATATTAAATTATACATATGTATATAATTTAATAAAGAATCAATAATCATAAATGTTTCTAATTATTCAATATTTTACTTATACATATAGATATGTTTATTAAGCATTTTAATTGTATGTATGTGTTCTTCGATCACATATGTACATATTTTATAAGCTAACCATAAATATTATTTTTCATGTGTCAATAATTTTATTTGATTTCATTTTAATAATTCTATGAATACACATATATATTCATTTGTAAAATACAAAATATTTGAAATACTATCATTTTAAAAAAGTGCAGCTCAGCAGGTGCAGAATGATGTGATCGAAGGATAAATGTTGATTTTGCATTTAATTCGGTCATAAATACAATCAGACGTAAGATGGATTGATTGAAAAAGCAGTTAATCGGACTGTGATTAATTATTGAAAGATAAAACGATTTCGATGAAAATTAATTCTTTGCTAAACGGAGCGGAACTATGACGAGAAAAATGATCTGGCGAAATCATAATTCGAATGAACATTACATTTGACGTTTCAGTCTCTTTGTATTTGACAAGAATATTTTCATAGAAACTTTAAAAATCCAAAACTATTTATATTATTTCTATTGTAAAGTTTAACTGATATTTAGCGCAAAGTACAAAACTTATGCAATGTTTATAATAAATTGTCAAATTTATATTTATAATAAACTATTACATTCAAATTAACAGTTATAAAAACGTTGAAAATTTCACAAATGTTAATAAGAAATTAGAAAATTCATTTAGTATGTATATGTTTTGCCAAATTTGTATTAATATTTATAATAAATTACAAAATTTAACTCAGATAGATAATGAAATGAAATTTAACTAATATTTCAATGTAACTAATATTAAGTCAGTATTAAGTGACAAAAAATATAGTATTGCTTTGCTATAAAAATATTACTAATCGATTTGCGACAAAATTTATTTTGCTTAGTTATGTCACACTTTCAACAAACACTCCGTATGAAATATTCATAACCAGCAAACATCACGTGCATTCTAAAATTTAGCAATCAATATGCCATAGCATATCGGTTTCTCCAGCATTACTGAACAGTTCTAAACATGAAAAAATTCATATAAAAAGGATATAATAACGAGAAACCTTTCAAACTTTAAATTACTTAAATGCTTAAAAACTTGCGTTAATAATATGTCAGTTATTTGCAATAGAATTATAATTTCCCAGACATATAAAATATCATAATTCTTAGAACTTTCTACAGTGTTACAATCTCTACATTATTTTTATAATTCTACACTTCTAATTTCTCAGTATAATAATTCTGATGTAGCTATAAACACAAAAATAAATAAGATGCATTGGATAAATTAGATATATATGATAAATAAAATAAAAATGGTAAATAAGACAAACAAGCCAGGCAACATAACAAAAGAAGCAAGACAAACAAGATACAAAGCAATAACAGGAAAAAGACTAACAAGACAAACAAGATAAACAAATCAAATAAATTAAGCAAGTCAACTAAATTAAGTAAAACAACGAGGTTAACAAGACAAGAAAGTGAAAAAAATCAAACGAGATAAACTAGACAAACAAGTCAATGAAAACAAACAAAAAAATACAAGACACATAAGATAAATAGGATAAAAAAACAAATGGGACAAATAAACTAAATATACAAAATAAAAGAACTAAAAAAATAAAAAATGTGGAAATAAAATAAATGAAAAAATAAATGAACGTGCCAGCAGAACTAAAATTTCTGGTTCACAATACAGCCCTGCAATCGAAACCTTCTCTCTTTACCGAATCCTCTCTCTCTCGCTCTCTCACTCTACTATGTTCTACGTTACACTCTACTTCGTTCTTCGTCAGACCAAAGAAACTATCTCTCTTTACTACCTCCTGCATGTATCCTTCTCCTTCCTGCCCCTGGTGTAAATAATTCTGTCCTTTTTCGTTGCACCGTTCGCCTCGGCTTGGTTCGTAAATTCTCGGCACGATTACGCGGCAAGGGGGGAGGTTGACTCAAAAGAGAGAGGTGGATAACCGTGCAAGTTGGAAAAAGATGAATATAACGTATGAAAGAAACGGAGCGAGTGAGTAAGCGTACGAGAAAGAATGCGGAGTGAGTAAACGTAAGACACGCGATGTTTAAGCGAGAAAGAGGACAGATCGCAGGAAAGTGAGAAAATGAACTAGAAAGAGAAAGAGGAGCAACGTAAAAATTGGGAAGAATGAAGGAGGAAGAGAATGAACGGTGACAGAGAAGGAAGTGATATATGTACTTGTCTCCGATTTTGAGAAAGTAAATGTGTACAATTGGAAGTTCGAAATATTGTCAAGTTTCAAATGTTAGGTTTGTACGCCTTTATATCCTTAAATTTTTTAATTTGCAAGTTTTCAGAATTTCCAATACTCACATTACTATATCCCCAAACCTTTACAAATTTTCCAGTTTTCAAATCTTTAAATACTTGAGTTTTCAAATTTCCAAATTCTCAAATATTTAGAAATATCTGAATTCTAAATATTCAAAAGTTCCAAATTTCCAAATCCACGCATTCGCAAATTCTCAAATCTCCAAATTTCTAAATTCAGATTTTCCGACATAGCAAAACTTTCCCAATCTTCAAATCATCAAATTTCTCAAATTTTAAAATGTTTACGTTCTCAAATTGTCAAGTTTCTACATCTCCAAATCTGTAAAATATTCAAATTTCGAACTTTTCAAACTTGTAAATTCTCAAATTCCTCTATTTCGTAACTTGCAAATTACGAAAACCCGAAATTTGCAAATACTTGAATTATTAAAGACATTTCCCAATTCAGATATTTGAAGAGGTAGTAATAACTAAATTTGATTGAATACGTAAACTAAACTTTTTCCTCTGCATCGTGAGTTGAAACTGAAATTACTGTTAAAAGCTATGTTCCATTTGTAAGGATGTTGATATACTACCGTAGCATGAGCGCACATGGGTTCGACTATGTTTTGCAAAATTATCTCAACGAGGCTCGGAATCAAGTGAAATGTTAAAGGTGGAATGATTGGGAAAAAGAACGTTTCCACTTGGATTGCAATACGAACGAACATCGGAAAAGTTGAAGTAAAAACCATTCGAATGGCCTTTGGCGTTTCTTGATCGAAACAATGAACACAAAAAGAAGACAGCTTGATTGAAATAAAAATAGTAAAATGTAATGGATAGAATGTACTCGCGTGTTTAAAGAACATCGATTGAACTTACAGTTTATTGGGATTTTTTAAATCAGAAGTACAGATTTCTTCACTCTTAGCAAAACATTTAAGTATGATTGTTATTTATAGAAATATGAACAAAATTTATTCGTATAATTATTGAGAATTATACATTCCAATTATTATGCATGTGTATATGTGACTAATTACTGCACATGCGTACATATTGTAATTGTAGTCATTAAGTACAGAAATATCAACAAAATTTATTTGTATAATTATTGAGAACTACACATTACAATTATTATACATGTGTATATGTGATTACTGCACATATGTACATATTGTAATCGTAATTATTATTTATAGACATATGATCAAAATTTATTCACATAATTGATCAGAATTATACTTATTATGCACGCATTGTGATTATTATGTATGTATATGCGTTATTAATTACTGTGCATGTGTACACATTGCGTTCATTATGCGTTCATTACTATGTACAACGTATGTACATAAAGCTGGAAAAAAGTAAGCACCGCCAATAAAAGTAAAAAAATAGTATAAAGTGATATGCCACGGAAGTAGAATGGAATCCAAATGAAATCGCAAACACAATAACTGTACTTTGTGGGCGAATGTTGTGCAAATTTATTACACATCGAGAGTAACAAGTTGCATTTGAAATGCAAATCGCGTATGAAAGTCTAGCCTCGGAAGTCACTGAAATAAATTTACCAGGTTGCTTTTGGTTGCGAAGAAAGATGATGTTTTTGAGTGATCGTTAATTGCATAAGGTAAAGTGTAGAAATTCTGAATTTCACTATATACCTAGGTAATACTTTGTATTTTTTTTTTTTTATTAAATGCTTAAAGTCACATATACGTTCTTAGGTTATTAAAAGTAATATACTGTTTATTAAAATATTAAAAAAGCAACGTTCCTAATTATATTAAATGACTTCTGAGAAACGAAAGTCAAACTGAGTCATTTTTAAAAACTAAACAACTTATTTTATCGAGTTACGTATGTATTCACACTTGTATGTATTGACACTTAACAGAAATTAAAGAAAACGATCTGACCAAAAATATTACAGTATTTATAAAATATTTATACGAAATTTGTCTTCAAAATAATGGAAGCTTGTATACATCCATAATTTCATAGTTTCTTATAATTATTTAATATCTTTTAATATAATTAATTTCTTGTAATGTGATTATTACAAGAAAATTATTAGTTCAAAAATTTGTATCTTTCATATT